TCACCCATTCCTGGTGCCAGAGTGATGCTTGGGGGCACCTCAGGAGGGCAGGAGAGAGGGAGCAGGCTGCAGCCCTGCCCTGTGGTGGGGGTGGCCTCGGGTCCTGTACAGGAGAAGTGAGGTGTGGGCCCCCAGGTTTGTGGGTGAGAATCTCACTCAGGGATCCAGGCTCTGCTGAAATGCCTATGACCTCTGAGCACAACCTGTGACCTCTGAGAGCAGTCTGGGGATCCGCATGGCTCGTATTGGGCTTTCACTGTAATTTGCAAACACAGTTTGTAAACACGTGTGTCCTATGCTGCATGTTCTGGGCTATCCCTTGTGTGGCTGCATATGATGTGTGTGTGTTTGAGGTTGTCCTGCTCTGACACGTGAACTCTCAGATAACGTGTGTCCATTGCTATCTCTTGTGTAACACGTAGTGTTATGGGTTGAATTGTGTCTCCAAACAGATATGTGAAGTCCTAACCCTTGTATCTGTGAATATGACCTTCTTTGGAAAGAGGGTCTTTGCGATGTTATCAGTTAGGTTAACATGAGGTCACAGTGGAGCAGGGTGGGTCCTAATCTCATCTGAGAGGTGTCTTTATAAAAGAGGACAGACATAGAGACACACATACCCAGAAGACACCATGGGAAGGTGCATCTACAAGATAAGGGCCACCTGGGGTCACCTGAAACTGGAAGACAAGGAAGGACCTTCCCCTACAGACTTCAGAGAGAGTATGGCCCTGCCCATGTCCTGAATTCAGACTCCCAGCTTCCAGAACTGTGAGAGAATAAAGTTCTGCTCTTAGAAGCCACCCTTGGTACTTTGTTACAGCAGCTGTGGGAAACTCCCACACCCATGTTTCGTATCTCTCCCAGCCTCTCAGGGGTCATTCCCTTTGCACCCAGTTGTCCTTTGTGGAGCCCTTCAAGGTCTGGGCTGGGCTCCACCACCCCAGGGACCCTGGTCTGATCCCTCCCCAGCCCCGGGGCAGCCCTTGTCCCTGCTGGGCCACCCAACGGCCAGGGGACCAGTTATGTTCTCCAGCTGAGACTGCCCACCTCCCACTGACCTCTGTGCTGGTCTCCACAGCTGAGCCTCATGGTAGATCTGCTGAGTCTGGAGCCCATGCCAGCCCGGCAGGGACAGGTGCAAAAGAGGGAGGAGCAAGCCCAAGCACACGAGAGGCATGGATGAGGACACGTGGCGGAGCAGTGCAGCTGGGACCAGTGGCGTCACTAGGGTTGGTATCACCCAGGGAGGTAACTCATAGTGTCACCCTCCTCCCCTGGGCTCAGGGTGGGCTAGGCCAGCCAGTCAGCCACCTTCCTGGTGGGTGGAGCGGCCCTGCCAGAGACAGCTTCCTGCAGCTCCTCTCCTCTCCCATTTGTCAAGACGGAGACCCCCCCGCTCCACCAAATAGCGGGCGCCACTGCCCGGCTGTCTGCACCCTGACTTGCGGGTGGGGGGTGACAAGTTATTGCACTGGGTGACGGGTGACATCAACCCTAGTGACGCCACTGCCTTGGCGGCCCATCCCCCAGCTGTCGCTGCTGCTTCTGCAGCCCTGGGGTCATTTTGGTGTCACCCCCTCTGACAGTGTCAGGAGGTGTGGTCTGCACCCTTTCCCCCCAAGCGCCTAGTGATGCCACTGGCCGGGACGCATGCTGCCTGGGGAGGCGTGTCAGAGGGTGGGCACATGGCACACGGGACGGCCTGGGACACACATGCTCTGGGGCGGAGCACGTGCTTAGAGCAGGCTGACACAGACACAGGATCCGCAGGGCCGCAGGGCACACGTGTGAACAGCTTTGGGGTCAGGGCCCTCTCTAGCAGAGGAAAGGATGCGGAGTGCAGGGCTGGGACCAGGGTCTAAGGAGGTGGGAGACGGGCCTGGGTTTGAATGGAGCCACTGACTCTGTCCTGTCTTCCCTCTCCTCCTGCCTTCCTTTTCACCTCCCCCCTACTCTCCATCCTAACCCCTCTTCCTCCTTTGGACTTTAGAAAGAAGTGGGTGGAGTGACCCAGGGGCACACATGCTGACAGAGAGGGGTTGGGGTAGCCCCACCCCTGCCCCAGCCTCTGAGCTGAGACTGTCAGGTCAGGCTCCTTGGTACCCCTTATCCAGGTCCCACAGGCCTCTGGCATTCCCTTCCCCAGCCCAGGTCTTCGGCTGGGCTCTGGGGCTTGAGGCAGGAGAGGATCATGGTCAGGTGGGCACGGGTCGCTGGGCTGCAGGGCCTAGGCTGCTGCTGCTCGGACCTTTAGGGCCCAGCTGTGGGGGCTGTGATAGTCCATGCCCACCAGACTCCAGGGTTAGGGGCCATGCTTCAAGCTTCACCTGGGGAGGCCCTGAGTTTGCCTGTGTGTCCCCAGGGTGTCCACACACTGCCTCGTGTATACCAGGTGACTTTGGTGTGTGTCACACGTGTGCTGGCATTCCTGAGCCTGCACCATGGGCCTGTGTAGGAGTGTCTGTGTGGCCCCACCGGTGTGAGGTTTTGACGTATCCCCGAGTGACCCACAAGTGTCTCTGTGGGTGTGCTGCGTGTCTCCACACGTGTCCCAAGCCTCAGCCGCAACAAAGATGCAGACATGAGATCCTGGAGGACAGCATGGGATGCCAGAGTCCCGGGCGTCTGCATGCCACGTCCAGGTATCCTAGCGACTGCTGCTGCCCATCTCCTAGCAACCAGGTCCCCATCCTTGAGGAGGGAGGATGCTCTGCCCGGGGCTGAATACCTTCAAAGACTGTCTGAGGGAGCAGCCCTGCGACTGGGTAGGTGCTGGTGACTCAGGTCAGGGGTCACCACATGGCCTTGGCCTGTGGCTTCCATCTGAGTCAGCTGCACACACGCCCTTGTGCTAAGTGAGAACTCAGCCAGCCACAGCCCAGCTGCCCTTGCTGCGTCTCAGGTAACAGGCTGACTGGTTGACCCCTGCCTCTGCCGACCACAGGTGCCTGAACTGGTGAAGGGCCTTCACAGTAGACTCTCAGCCGGCCGTGTCCTGGGGTGAGGCAACCATGGTTTAAGGTGCTCTTTGCAGAGAGCTGGCTGGGCGGGGGCATGGTGTTAGGGCATCTGGCTGACGGGTGTGGGGAGCCCCGTCAGGGCGAGTGGCTGCACTCTGGGGTTCTGAGTTGGCCTCTGCGCGGGCAGGGCAGGGCCTGGTAAGAACAAGTGTGGGTGACCTGTGAGCACCTCCCGTTCCCCATGCGGACTGACTGTCTAGTGTCCGTGTGTCTGAGACTATACATTTATCTGTCCCAGGTCTGTGGGTCTGAGCTTGTACATGCATCTGTCCCACGTACATGTGTCTCTGTCCTGGCTTTGTGTGTCTGAGCCTGTACGTTTGTACCATCTACGTGTCTGTCCCCATATCCACGTGTCCAAGCCTCTATGTGTGTCTCTGCCCTGTGTGTCCGAGCCTGTACTTGTGTCTGTCTGGGTCTGTGGGTGGTCCCCCCGTCTGTCCATCTCTATGTGTGTGCCCTGGTCCTTTGTCTGTCTGTTTGCCATGTGGCTGACCCTTCCCTGCACACTCCAAGGCCAGCCCATGTGGCCCCTCCTCCGCAGGAGCTGCAGCTTCCTCCCCTCCCCCCAGCTCCTGGCTCGCAGCTCTCAGCTCTCAGCAGCTAGGCTGGCTGCGCATCTACTGAGAAGGAGCAGCTGCTGCCGCCGTCACTGCAGCCTATCCAGCCCGGCTCTGAGTGAGAAGGGGGCCTTTCTCCAGCCCCTTGACCCCTCTAGCCACTTGGCCCCTGCCCCACCTGCCTGCTGAGATCTGGACCCCGCTGCACCAGCTTTGGTTCCCAAGGTGAGGCCCTGAGTCTAGGGGTGGGGGGAGGGTGCTGATGGGCTGGCAGCTTCTAGGGGGTCAGAACCGGGAGTGGGGGCAGGAGAAGGCGGGGCGTCCAGCCACCTATGTCCTGGGTCACAGGCATTTCTAGGCGTGTTTTGCCTATATGGGGACAAACACACGGACAGGTCCCTTATGAGCCTGCGTGTACATGAGGGCACATTTGGGCATCTTTATGTATGCCTACGTGTGTACAAACGTGTGTTGCTGCATCCCTGAGCCTGTGCGCACGCAGGTGGCCGTGGGTCCGTGTGTCCCTGGGGTGGACGTGTGCCTTGGTGGATAACCACATCCAGGCATCCCACGTGCGTGTGTGTAAACCAGATGGAACCCGAGCTCAGGTGTGCCTGTGCATGCCACCTGTCTATGTCCCCCGTGTCCCTGCATGTGAGTCATGTGTCTGTATGTCCCCCGTGTCCCTGTCTGTGTGTCACGTGTCTGTATGTCCTGTGTGTCTGTGTCACGTCTGTATGTCTCCCAGTGTCCCTGTCTGTGTGTCACGTGTCTGTATGTCCTGTGTGTCTGTGTCACGTCTGTATGTCTCCCAGTGTCCCTGTCTGTGTGTCACGTGTCTGTATGTCCCCCATGTCCCTGTCTGTGTGTCACGTGTCTGTATGTCCCCCTGTGTCCCCGTCTGTGTGTCACGTGTCTGTATGTCCTGTGTGTCTGTGTCACGTGTCTGTATGTCCTGTGTGTCTGTGTCACGTCTGTATGTCCCCCTGTGTCCCTGTCTGTGTGTCACATGTCTGTATGTCCCCCGTGTCCCTGTCTGTGTGTCACATGTCTGTATGTCCCCCGTGTCCCTGTCTGTGTGTCACATGTCTGTATGTCCCCCAGTGTCCCTGTCTGTGTGTCACGTGTCTGTATGTCCCCCGTGTCCCTGTCTGTGTGTCACGTGTCTGTGTGTCCCCCTGTGTCCCTGTCTGTGTGTCACGTGTCTGTGTGTCCCTGCATGTGAGTCACATGTCTATATGTCCCCCTAGACCCCTGTTTGTATGTCGTATGTTCAAATGTCCCCCTGTGCCCCTGTGTGTGCACACACGTGCCTCGGGGTCTGTGGCTGCCTGGGGGGCCACCTGTCCCTCCGTCTGTACAAGCTGGGTGTGCAGTCAGGTGTCTTTGTGTCCCTCAGGTGCTGAGTGGCCAAGAGGCGGCATGGAGTCCCTCTTCCCCGCCCCATTCTGGGAGGCCTTCTACGGCACTCACTTGCAGGGCAACCTCTCCTTCCTGAGCGCCAACCACAGCCTGCTGCCCCCCCACCTGCTGCTCAACACAAGCCACGGCTCCTTCCTGCCCCTTGGGCTTAAGGTGTCCATTGTGGGGCTCTACCTCGCTGTGTGCGTGGGGGGGCTGCTGGGCAACTGCCTCGTCATGTACGTCATCCTCAGGTAGGCTGGCCCTGCCCCCACCAGAAGCTCCCACGGCCTGACCGGTCAAACAGCCACAGAGGGGAACACTGAGGCAGGGCTGTTCAGGACGGACCTGGGGCAGGCAGGGGATTTCCTGTTTCCCTCCCGGAACCAATTCCTGGTCATCCTGTCCAGGGGAGGGTCAGTCCTGAGGCCCTGGACACTCAGCTCCTGGGGGCGGAGGTGAAGAAGGAGGGGACCCAGGCCCTGCCCCTGCCTGTATGTGGGGGGAGGAGGGGACCCAAGCCCTGCCCCTGCCTTTGTGTGGGGGAGGAGGGGACCCAGGTCCTGCCCTTGCCTGTGTGTGGGGGAGGAGGGGATCCAGGCTCTGCCCCTGCCCATCTAGTGGGGAGAAGGGGACCCAGGCCCTTCCTCTACCTGTCTGGGAGGGAGGAGGGATACCCAGGCCCTGTCCTTGCCTGTCTGGCCTATCCCCTGCCTGTTGGGATGGGAGGGAAGAGACCCAGGCACTGTCCTTGCCTGTTGGGTTGCGGGGGAGGGTGCAGCTATACCCCAGTCACTACAGTGACTCCTACCCATTAATGACCTCATTGTCTGAGGTGAGGCCAGGCTTCGTGTGCCAAGCTGTCTGCCTGGATTACCTCATCAGAGCCCAGCAGCACCCCGTGACACTGCTCTTTTGTTAGCCCACTCTATAGATGGGCAAACAGAGGCACATAGAGTGCGTGGTGGCAGGCAGCTCGTGGAGCCCGTTCTCCTGGCTTCAGGGCTTGGGGCTCAGTGGTGACATCTGTGGCGTTCCAGATCTGCTGATGCTCGGAGGTGGGAAAGCTCACAGGGCCCAAGACAGGTGGCCAGGCTGTCGGGTGGCTGGTGTGTGGGTAGTTGGAGCGGGTGGACAGCATGTGGGTGGGTGGGTGAAGAATGGAGATGACCCGACAGAAGGAGAGGGGTCCTGACCACGAGACCATGCAAAGAGAGGGAGTGCCAGGAGCTTGGGCAGGTGTGGGATCTTGAGTGTCAGGTGGGGACATTGTTCTTCAGACAGTAAGGAGCCATGGAAGGTCATTGAGCAGGAAAATGGCCCAGCTAGGGTGGACATATGTCCTTGGCCCAGAAAGATGTGATTCTGAAGAAAGCACTCAAAGCCCTAAAGCAAGTGGCGTCTCCTTATAACCTCAAAGGCCCCCAAGCAGAGGTGCCAGAGGGAGGAACAGTGGTGGAGGAGGCAGGACGGGGCAGTGGGGAGTGCCCAGGCCCTGCTTCTTTCTGCCCTACCCTCTGAGTGACCCTGAGCAAGTCCTGTTCCCCTCTGGGCCTCATTTTCCCCATTTGGAAAGTGAGGAAGGTGAACCAGATAGCTACATGTGTGCATGTGCGTGCATGGTTGTGTGCATGCAGGACACATGCACAGACACACGACACACACGTGCTCATGTATGTACACATGTGGACACGCATGTGTACAGTGCACAGGTACACGTACAGCGCATGTGTGCACACCATGTAGGTGCATGCGTGTGTTTGTGTGTGCCTGTTGTGCGTATGTGCATGCATGTGTGTGATGCACAGTTAGACAAGCAGGTGGGAGGAGTAGCTGTCCCCTGCCCAGTGCTGACGTACAGGGGCGGGTCCTGGGGAGGCTGTTCCTGACCCACATGCCCTGTGTGGCTGGAAGACGTGTCGTGGGTGAGAAGTCAGCCGCCTGGCGCAGTCCACTCGCCTTGTCCACACTTCCTGTCATCAGTGCTGCTTTTCTGTGTTTCTCCTCTGCATGGGGGCGTGGAAGCCCTCAGACCAATGTCCTGGGTCAGAATAGGCAGGGAAGGCCATTTCCCATGAGCAGTCCCCAGAGAGAGCAATGTTCAGGAAGCACTGTGTGACCACACGGGCCCGAGAGCAGCACGCGGTGTGCTCTGAGCCCGTGGGTTGGGGCCAGCGGCCTCCAGACTCAGAAACACCTGTACCAACCTCGCTCTGAAAGCTACTCAGTACCTCTGAGTCTGTTTCCTCGTCTGTAGAGTGGGGGCAGTAACACCCACCCATAGTGTTTTCTTGAGTCTTAAATGAGATAAAATCCATGTGAAGAGCTTGGCACAGGTATCTGCCATTGTTATTGCTATTAGTATTTGGGCATAGCTGAGGCCTCTTTGTACTTATTTTTAATCCCTCCCTCAGAGGCAGAACTAAATTCAGATTCCCTCATGGCAGATAAATTAACACGGAAAATTGTCACCACTGGTGCCTCCACCCTTCCCGCCATCATCACCACCTCCACCCCCACCCTCCCACCATCACTACCACTGCCATCACCACCCTCCCACCCCTCTACCACCATCATCACCGCTAACACCATCATCACCATCAGCACCACCACCATCACCTCCACCATCACCTCCACCATCACAACCCTACCCTGGAAATCACTGCCATCACCCTCATCACCACAACCACCATCCCCAGCATCACCACCACCACCACCATCACTATCACCACCATCACATCACCATCACCATCACCACCACCACCACCATCACAACCATCATCACCACCACTACCCTCGAAATCACTGCCATCACCCTCATCACAACCATCCCCGGCATCACCATCACCATCACCACGACCACCACCACCATCACTACCATCACCACCACCACCACCACCACCACCATCACCACCGCCACCATCAGATTCACCACCACCATCATCACCACTATTACCACCATTGACTCATTCAAATATTTATTAAGCACCTACAACTTTCCAAGCACTGTTCCAGGTGTTTTGTTCCAACCAACACCATCAGCACTCCTGTCCCTGTCACCACTTCCTGTCTCCATCTTGGTGTGTCCTGGGCAGCTTTGATGGCTTGGATAGGCTCTGGAGCCCTTGGAAACCTCTGCCAGCTGCAGGGCTAGCATTTTAGTCAATAAAGAGTCTTGTGGAGAAACCCCATAGGGAGAGGACAGGTTCTTTCTCTCATGAGTCCCACCCTTTCCCCCCCGGGCAGAGTCCAGTGTGCTCTGATGCCCCACATGCCTCAACATCTCTAAAGTAGACCAGTCTTCAAGGTCCTACACCCTTTGTGTGGGTCAGAATCACTGAGGGCTTGTTAGGCTATTTGCCCCAGGCTCTGTCCCCTGAGACTGACTCCCTGGGCCTCAGTTGGGTCCAGAGCCTACATTTTAGCAAACTCCTGCGGGGACTCTGGCCTTGAGGATCTTGGAGCTGGAAGCACTCCTCGCCCTTTGCTGCCAGGTCCAGCCAGGATGCTGAATGAAGCCCCTCCCTCCCTCCTCTCTGCAGACACACCAAGATGAAGACAGCTACCAACATCTACATCTTTAACTTGGCACTGGCAGACACCCTGGTCTTGCTGACGCTGCCTTTCCAGGGCACAGACATCCTCTTGGGCTTCTGGCCGTTCGGGAACGCCTTGTGCAAGACAGTCATTGCGATCGACTACTACAACATGTTCACCAGCACTTTCACACTCACTGCTATGAGCGTGGACCGCTATGTAGCCATCTGCCACCCCATACGTGCTCTCGACGTCCGTACATCCAGCAAAGCCCAGGCTGTCAACGTGGCCATCTGGGCGCTGGCCTCCATCATCGGCGTCCCTGTTGCCATCATGGGCTCAGCGCAGGTCGAGGACGAAGGTCAGTGTGGGGTCCTGCTCCCTGTGGCTCCCCTGGTCCCTTCCCTGCCCTGCAGCCGCGGGTCTCCCAGCCTCCCTGACCACTGTCTCCTCCTCCACAGCACTTTACTCCCTTAAGCTTCCACGGCCCCTCCCCGCCTGCTGCCCACTGGGTGCAGGTCCCCGGGCGTTCTGACTGCTGCTGTCCTCCCCAGCACCCTGCTCCCCGTGGCTCCTGGGCATCCTTCCTGGCCCGCCAGCTGCATGCCTCAGGTGCGCTGACTGCTGTCTCCCTGCAGAGGTCGAGTGTCTGGTAGAGGTCCCCGCCCCACAGGACTACTGGGGGCCGGTGTTCGCCATCTGCGTCTTCCTCTTCTCCTTCGTCATTCCTGTGCTCATCATCTCCATCTGCTATAGCCTCATGATCCGGCGGCTGCGCGCTGTCCGCCTGCTCTCGGGCTCCCGGGAGAAGGACCGGAACCTGCGGCGCATCACGCGATTGGTGCTGGTGGTGGTGGCTGTGTTTGTGGGCTGCTGGACGCCCGTCCAGGTTTTTGTGTTGGTTCAGGGGCTGGGTGTGCAGCCGGGCAGTGAGGCAGCTGTGGCCCTGCTGCGCTTCTGCACGGCCCTTGGCTATATCAACAGCTGCCTCAACCCCATCCTCTATGCCTTTCTGGATGAGAACTTCAAGGCCTGCTTCCGAAAGTTCTGTTGCGCATCCACCCTGCGCAGGGAGACCCAGGTGTCTGACCGTGTGCGCAGTATCGCCAAGGATGCAGGCCTGGCTTGCAAGACCTCAGAGACAGTGCCTCGGCCCGCATGACTAGGCATGGACCTGCCCCTGGTGCCCGTCAGCCCGCAGAGCCCGTCCACGCCCAACACGGAGCTCACACAGGTCACCGCTCTCTAGCTGATGGCCGAGCCTAAAGCACCACAGCCTGCACAGGCTTTCCCTTTGGCCCAGACACTTGGCCTAGAAGAGGCTGTAGGAAAGCTGGGAACTTGGGACACGATGGGACGGGACGAGGCATGAGGGCAGCTGCTGAGGTCCTCCTGCTGCTGGGTGGACCCTGCATGCATGACCCCATGTTTTGAGTGACTCTTTCTTGGTCTCTTCCTTGCTGAGTCCTGGGCGCACTGGAGGTGTGCCTCCAACGTATACAGCCCCACGCCCCCACGTGCAGTGCGTGTTTGCAGGCCCAGGGCTCCCAGCTGCCTCAGCCCTGTGACTCCCGGCCCCAAGAGCCTGGGGCAGCAGCTGTGCACTTCAGGACTTGCCCACCTGAGCACCTGCCTGCTTTTCCATTTGTGCAGCTGAAAAGGCCTTTCGTCCTATCTGTGCCCTGGCGTGGCCTTGGGAGGGTGGCAGGCCTCTACTGGCCTGGTGTTGTCCCAGAGGACCGCACAGGCCTCCAGCTCATCTCTGGGGCAAGGCCCAAGCTCCTGCTGCCTGAACTGTGTGAGTGGGGCCAAGCTGAAGGAGCTGGCCTTGGGCGGGGAGGGGAAGGGTGTGGTTGGCCGGTCTGCTTGAGCCAAGTTGCAAGGATGAACCAACTGTGGGGCCTCAGGGACACCTGGCCTCGGTCGCCCAGCATATTGCCTCTTTGATCTGCAGACAGAGGCTACAAGTTGGGGACTTTGCAAGCACTCTTTCTGCAAGTGAACTATGGAGACAGCTGCAGTGCCCAAAAGAGTCCTGTGCCCCACCCTCACCTGGGGCTGAGCTGCAGACTTCGGCCAGGTGGACTTGACAACTGCAAAGGACAGGGCGCTGTCACCGTGCCCCTGCGGCCGGGCTTGGTGGGGTCATCCTGGGGTGGGGGCGGGAGGCTCTGAGGATGCCAGGGCAGGAGCGTTGCGAATCTGCTGAGCAACAGTGCACCTTACGTATTTATGCATGCGATAGTGTCATCTCCTGTGCGTACGGCCAGCCCCAAATCTGTCTCCAGGGGCGGTGAGGGAGGGCCTGAATAAACACCTGCTTATGGCTGCCCACGTCTGCTCCAGGTGTTCCTGGCTCCTGCTGGGGTGAGGGGGAGATGTTCTGGGGTCAGCTCATGGGTAGGAGGCAGCTATGGGCCCAGGAGGATGTGTCCCCCTCCTGCTCTGTTCCTCCTTCCAGGCTCTGCTCACTGCTGAGGGTCCCCAAATAGGGGTGTCACGAGCTTGTGGTGTTCTGGCAGCTGTGGTTGCCTTTGTTGCAGCACAGATGGCTCCTCCCTGAACGGCCAACTCCCACACCGCTTGCCGGTGGGCCCTTGGCTGGACATCCCCCCACCTGGGCCAGGGCTTGTCTTCACACTATTCACCTCGGCAGGCCCCCTTTTCTGCTTGAGCCGATCCGAGGAGGGGTTTGGTGGGATGCTGGGCTGGGGCTGTGGCCACCGTGTGGGCCCATGGGCCAGAGAGAGGCCTTGTGGGGCTATCAGGGGTATGCCAGGTCGAAAGCTGCTGGCCAATGGCCAATGTGAGGATGGAGAAGCTACTGTTAAAACAACAGCTTAGCATGGAGGGAGGGTGTGGGAGGGAGTGCCACACGGCAGCAGGGAGGGTGCCCGAGCAAGCCCAGTGGAAGGGCTGGACTGTGGGTTCCTCGGAGCTGATGACCAGCCCTTGGCTCCCACAGCAGGCATCCGAGTGTCCAGGCCAGACCTCCAAATAGCCAGATCACGAGGGGCCAGGGAGGCAGGAGGGTCCAGCGGAGCATCCTGGGGGCTCAGGCTGGGGCTGTGAGGAGAATCCCGAAGGAGCCCCGGCCTCTGGCCTCATCTGCCTCTCCTCCATCCCACCTTCCCAGCTCCCTCAGGTGCTGTGGGGGCGTGTCTCAGGGGAGGCCAAGGCTCCCTGCACAGGCATGGTTATACCTGCATCTCCCCCATCTCTGCCCATCTGTGCCCCACCTCTGCTCCTTTCTGTCTCCATCTTTGCCCACCTCTCCTTCCCTCTGCCACGACTCCGCCCCGCCT